CCCTCCACACTCGATCACTGCCGCTGATCGCCGCGACCACTTATTCGGTGGGATTAAGCCCAGCTTATTTAAAGTTAATCGCGAGATGACGGCCGCAACTTTGGGACACACTCGATAGTATACAGCTCTGCTCTCCTGAGTTACGTATTGGGAGACCATCAGGTTCTAAATTAACAGGAGGTATTTTGGTATTGGATTATTAACTGACTAACCGACGAAGTCGTGACTGTTTATCTTCGGCGAGAAAACAAGTGATGTTTTCGAACGTCGAATCATTGATAAATGAGCGGGTGACATTATTCAATTTGCCATCGGTGAAAAATAAGTCGCATACGGTTAAAACCTGAATAGTATGTCCAAGTAAGTCTTGCATCGAAATTCTGGTTCATGAAAGACGTACGGATGGTGCCAGGCGCTTAAGATCTGTCTTTGAAGTAGACGAATTCACAATGTCACCATCGATAGTTAATCAACGCTGGAAGTTATTGTTGACTGTGAGCGCACCGGTAGTGTGTTATGTCTAGCCGTAATTGTTAATGAATTATACAGGGATTGAAAATCTGCAGATAATTATAAATCGGTGAATGAGTGTTGTACCAAACACTTTTACTTGGATCAGGAGGTTGGGTATGACCAGATTACCACACTTGTTGCATTTTTCGTTTCATAAATTACGAGAATTTTGTTCACGTCATGATCTACAAGTTCTTGATTGTCATGAGTACCTAGTTAGAAAACAGTGATGGTTTCGAATTACGAGAACTGACTCTGTTTATATTTTCGCAAATGCCGCGTCTATTGATTTCGCTCTAGTATACCTTTATCATTGCTGAATACAATTTGTGTCCACTCTCAATCTTGGCTGTGCGGACATCCTGAAATTGTCCGCAGATTACTTAAACTTACTAGAATATGTAGCTTGAAGTTACCAGTAGCTGTTGATGTAACTCATCGTAAGTGATCCCGGTAATGAGTCTGTCATGAAACTGTATATATAGTTGATGACACAAATTGCAGCGCCAAACTTAGGTCTGTGGTTGCAAAACATAATCTGGTAC